GTGGAGAGATGTTCTCTACCACCGGACTAGTGTGGCCCTTTTCAGGTTGCATTCCTGGGCCTCTTTGTGGCGTGGATGGGAGCGACCGTCTATGCAGCACGATGTCTCAGCCTTCATGACCCATGTGCTGGACAAAATGCAACCACCCGTGCTTCAAGGTGCATGGGAGTCTCGCACTCTTGCGGGAGCCACGACACAACGTGAGGACTCAGGAAGTCTGCACTCCCCCATTATCCTGCACATACAAGCCCAGCACCAGACGTTGCAGGACTGCGTTGATGGCTGGCACAATCAGGTCCTGCCACATGCACTCTGCCAGGCCTCACCGCTTTGCTTTGTACAACTGGCCAGGTATGATTTTGATCATGGGGTGGCTGTCAAGAACAGCCAGGCCATCACTGTCCCTGATTCAGCTTTTGTGCCGTCTGGGGGAGGCATCTTGCCAGCTTCAGAGCTAAGTACCATGTCGTGGCAGTCATCATGCACCACGCTCCACACACTGAGGCGGGTCATTACACCGCTGCCCTTATGGATCCAGCCACGGAAATGCACAGGGGCCGTTGCTGGTCGTCGGATGACAATCGTCGTCTGGTTGCCCACGCCTCGCTTCCGGCTAAAGCTATGCCATCTATGCACCAAGGGTATGTGTTTGCCCTGCTATAGGTCCATCTGATATGCCCAGCATCGCTTGGGGCATAGATAAGACGGGGAATGGATGTGCTTGCTGCTCATCCCTCTTTTTGCTAGAGCCTGTTGCGATTGCACCGCCAAACGTGTGGAGCAAACCATCATGTTGCCAGACCGGCTCGCGGGCACTCGTGCCGGAGCCATGTTTACCGGGCCTCATAAAATGGGGTGCGCATTTGGCGCCGACGACAACCACCGTCGCCGTTGAAGGGACGCTTAGCGAGGCTGGATCTTGCTCCCTCGCTTGTGAACTTGTTTCTCCGTCTTGAACTCCTGCTGCTGCTACTACTTACTACCACTACCACTACCCCTGCCGCTACCACTACGACTGCCGCTGCCACTGCCACAGCCACTTCTATTGCCACGGCCCCACGGCCACGGTCACGGTCGCTGCCACCCCCACTACCACTACGACCACGACGACCACCACTATACCACTGCTCCTACTCTACTGCTACTATCACTGCTACGACTACGACTAAGGGATTACTTCCATTCCAAAACCGCAACACACTGCAGCCAATCTCTGGATTTTGCGCGGTGTCAGGTAGCAGTTTGCTTGTGCCGGCATGTTGCAAGTGCTAAACTAACTGCCAAACGTAGGTCCGCTCATCACTGTGATCTTGTACAAGGGTGGCCGATGACGGCTCACCAACGGTCCATGTCCTGTCAGTGCGCTTGATCGCTTTCATTGGTCAAGCGGATGTCAAGCGGAGTGCAGGAAGCTGAACTGGCTGCGACTGTCGTCCGTCAGGGCTTCCCCTCACTAGCATGACTTGCGCATGTTCGGAAAACACCTCGGGATGTCCTGCAACAAAGCTTGTGATTGCTTTTGCATTGTGACAAATTGGGCGTCCAAACTGCGCATCAGCCGATCATCGGCTGATAGGGGAATCGGGTTCGGGGTTTAAGGTTTCGGCGCTCACACTGGGACAATCCAGGCGAGGCATATGGTTCGGAGGTCTGCTGAGTGAAACGCAATAGTAGGGAGCTTTCACCAACCACGGTTACGATCTAAAAACAACAAACTGACTGTATCCGTCTGAGGACTTTATTTACTCCCCTCCCAATATTTTGGCGTGCGGCGTGCAGGATGATCAAACAGCTTGGGAACATCAGAATCTTGACCCTATCTTGCGCAGGTAATCACACAGCAAGTTTGTAACCCCCCGCAACGTTGAGCTCGGAGAGGGCTTCCAGCCAACTGACTTGAAACTCCTGGAAAGCGGTGGACTTCTTCTCGAGGCCGTCATACTTGGCCCTAGCCTTCATCGCCTTGGCTTCGTCCGATTCGCGAAAGGAAGCATCCAGGGCCGCTATATGACCCGGTCAAAGACTGCCGAGGGCTTGGCCTCGTCGTCCCCGTTGTGCTTGGACTCCTTTCACGATCGTGTCGTAGCACCTGCCACGCGTACCTTTAAGGGCACGGGCGAAAAGCCGGAGCTTCTCGCGGTCGTTTTTCGGCTTCACGACCAAGCGACGTCTTGGAACGCCTCGAGATGTTTGTCCAAAGACGCATCCCCGTCGCCGAAGACAGGCAAGTCATCGCGAAGAGAATACATAGGCATGTATTTTCTCCTCTTTCAAGCATTTGAGCTGTTCGGTTCGGTCCTTTCTGTCCCTGCTGCTTCCTCATTTTTTGCACAGCGGACTCGCCCCCGGAATTATGGGATGAGATGTCGCAGGTCTGGGGCCCGGCCATGAAAAAGTCAAAGGCACCAGCAAAGTAGCTAGGCGGCCTCGTTTCCTCACGGCCTTCCGGCTTCTGAGTCAAAGAAGGAGCCCTGCTGTGGCTCGTCCGGGCTCGGCGTCGAAACTTGGACGGAGAAACCAGTCCACAGTTTTCCCATAACTAGCCGTGCGAGCTGCGCGCGGAACCTGCAGAACTCGGCGGAAAGCTTCGGGCCTCAAGAGACTTCTCCGCATTTTCACGAAGCGACAGCAGCCTCGCTTGCACTCGACCCGACGAGTCGATACCGCTGGCCTCTGAGTAGGCCTCGGCCGCTCCTTTGTAGCGATAGTAGATCGCTACTGGATCCGCCCCGGGCATCTGCATGAGCTGGCTGATGCCAGCCCCAATTGCTCTCAGAACGTGGTCAAGGCCGTCCTGGTGTTGTGCGGCACAGACTCGTGAACCGCGACCGCGAAAAGGCCGTCCGGATCTGCGCTTCTCCGAGACAGCACTCTGCAAAGGGAAAGGGCCTCGTCCCTGCAGTCTGGACGGGCCATCTCCACACCTTGGTGGAATCGCACCTCATACTCCTCGAGACTCTCGGAAGGTGCAGGAGCGGCAGCGACGCGCTGGGCCGAGTTCTAGGAAGCTCACATGAAGACGCCGGAGGCAGCGGGCTGCCCCAGGTCTCCACGACCGGTTCTGACAGGCAACATAGGTGGCTCCACTCCGCCACAAGCGGAAGCGACTTGAGCGTGGGGGGCTGCCGTACACGGCGGGTTCCACCCGGTGGTATAGCTCGGCGGCCTCGCTAGTTGTGACGGAGAGGCCACGTGCTTTAAGCTTTTTCAAAAAGGTGCCATACCGTTTGATGCCGAGGGATCGGCGAGCTTCCAGCGCGATGCGCTCGCGCTCCTCGCGTCGCTGCAGGACGCCCGGGCTCACTGCTCCGACCTCTGGTGCCGGCATCCAAACTAAGTGAATGCGGCCTTCCAGTGGTCGGGCGTCCGTGGCCGGGAAGCATCTTGCCGTCACTTCCCAGAACAGCCCCCAACTGAAGAGAGTGTCAAATGCCACTAACATCCACTAACGAAAGAAATAAAACCAAACGAAAAACAGCAACAGCAGTAGTTGGCTAAGCAACCTTACCCCAAAAACACTACGAACCCCGCGGCACGCTTTTACTGCCCAGCACGAACCGCAGGGAGCGGCTGCTGTGCCAAGAGCTCACCAACTGCCTGAGCTGCAGTTTCTCCAGCAACGTTGTTGGTTACCTTGTTGGCTATGGCATTCTAGCATAAGCTACGCTTTCCTAAAGGGCGGCGACCGCCCACGAAATTGCACGCCAGTAAACTGACTCACCAAGCTTGCATGACACAGAACTACGGTGCAGGCGAGGGGCCCCTTTCAGCACTACCACTACCACTACAACTACTACCACTACCACTACTACTACTACTACTACTACTACTACTACTACTACTACTACTACTACTACTACTACTACTACTGTAGCAGTAGTAGCACGGCCAAAGCATCCGTTCTAAGGTTAAAACTAAATCGTCCGCACTAGCTAGTCTTGGTGCCTGCTGCATATCCGAAAGGGGCACGCGGACCCATCCTGCAAACGCGACTCCACCCATAAACATCCAGAAGTAAAGACAATTTGCACACCAGGATTGCAGTTTTGTATTTTGTTTTTCCGTGTTGTTGTTGGCGGTTTTGTGTTGCCATTTTGCTGAGGCCGCCCAACTCAGGCGTTCAGGCCCTCCCGGTTTGCCCGCTTGCGTTCCTGGCAGTTTTTCAATCGTTTGCTTGCGTTTTCCTGTGCGGAACCACAAGCTGGTCCCCGTGATCTTCTATTTGCTCTGTTGGCGCCTTCCTGCTTGGCTTTTGTTCACATGTATTGAATTGTTGTGGCGTTTTGCTGGGTGTTTTCGTACCAAAGCGCAAAGAAGTTTGCCGGGACGCCGCCGGACCTCCCTTCCGACAAAAGCGCGGAAACCGCTGACATCGACAAGGTAGTCCAAGTCTCCCAAAACCGTTGCCCCTTTTTGCACTTGTTTTTCTGACGGTCGCTATTGTTTCACCTTGTGGAATGGGCTTGTGCTCAAGTTGGTAGGATTCGGCAAACTTGCAAGACAAGCCAGGGTATGCTCTGCTAGAATCACATCATAAAACAATCCAATTCAAGACACACTATAGACTATAGAGAACACCCTGCAAGTGGCACGTGTCCTGAGTATTACTTGCTGATACCTGCTGCACCAAGGGCTATAACATAAGAGGTTGCATGGTGATTTGTTATCCGGATCTTTGTCTTTCACTGGATCCCCGCAACCTGAGTTAATGCCATCAGACCTTTGAGTAGCAGGGAACATAAGAGTAAGTGAGAGACATCGTGATAGAGTATCTACGTATACAGAAGAGTGACAAAATTCAAGGGTCGCGGGGGATGCGTCTGATCCATATTTCTGCTCCTTGCAGCAAGGAGCAGAAATAGGGATCAGACGCATCCCCGCGACCCTTGAATTTTGTCACTCTTCGGGAGGAGCCGCAATTCGGCATGACCCAGAAACCCAGAAGCCAGAAGATGCAAACACAAATAAATTAAACAAAGCATTTTCCGCCCCGAAAGCAGGAGCAGACACAGCTGCAAGAGTCGGAACAGTCTTTGTCCATCGCTTGGACCGCAACGGTGCAACGTCGCCAGAATGCCGAAATCCGTATATCCAGGCTGGAGACCTAGTGATCATTTTGTTGTCCGTTTGTTCACATGTTGGCGAAGCTAAGCAGCTAAGGTATGGTGCAGCACTCGGCCGTGTCGCAAGAACAGTGGCATTGCTCTAGTTCCCCCCGTGCACAAGCAATGTGGAAGGCATTTAAAGGTTACCCGTTCCACAAGGTGAAAATCCACGAATCCGTGCGGAAGCTGACAGAGCTGCTGACCAAGAGAGGTCCTTGCTCTCGGAACTGACTGACGTGTCACAGCGCCTGGCGGACGTCAAGGACATACATGTGTTTCCGCACTTGCAAGTGAGTGGGTGGTTCGCCCCAGGTAAGTCCCAGATGGTCCGATGCGATTCATTGAAGAAGATGTGTTGTATGTCGTCACTCATAATGCAAAGGTCCACGTCATCAATCTCGCGCTGAGCTGGCCAGAGGGCCCGACCACAACATCCAACCCGGACTACCCAAGCCCCCCTGTGCAGCAAAACTCTTGGATCTGCACGTCTCGTGCACATGTCGGATCTTTAGCTCTAGTCTTGATCACAACAGGAGGCCTTGGTGGAGAAGGAAGAACTTTTGTGCATGGCTATGCTTGCGGATGATCCCACCTGACCCAGAGCGCCTGTATCTGAATTTTCAGTTGCTTGATGAAGCAGCGACGGTCTGTGAGAAGGGCCGCCAGGTGATTCGTTAATGTGTTGTCTGTGGACATCCCGAAGATTGGATGGAAGCAGTACCGTAGCATGTGTAGCATGCAGCAAGACCCTCAGGAAGCTACATGTTCAGCCGCTTGCGGTTTGAAAAAGTCATCGTTGTTCTGCAGTTTCATTCTGTGTGCAGCTTGCCACAGATTTCGCGGAGTCGTGGAGATATGGCTGGGTTTATGTCGGTTCGAGCAGCTGCAGCTGGCCTGATCTCTCACCCCGCTGACAAGAGATCTGCCCTCTGCATGCGGCATGCACATTGCGGCCTGGAGTTGTCCGCCTTGCAGGCAGTGGGCTTAGTAGCTAAGTAGTAGTTGTCGTTCGACATAACTAGATACCAAAGTGAACGACATGCATCCTTCCATAAATCTGTGCTTTACATGTGCACACACATTGCCTTCTTTCTCAGCTTTCTTTCGCCTCCTGCGTCAATACGATGCGTATTCAGAAGCACCGGCCCCAGCCCGTGACTCAAAATAACATGTACGCACCCACACTAGCAGCAGTAGTAGCAGTGGCAGCAGCAGTAGCAGAAGCAGTACGACGCACAGGTCGTGACTGCCTTGTGAACTAAGTATGTCCGGCTTTGGGGCAGACGTTCGCGAGGTGGGTAGTGGTTGGCATATGCGAGGCGCGCGTCTTCTCTTCACCGCTCCTCAATACCAACGGTCAGCTTGGAGCTGCTGTCGATTTCGTGTTGTGGAGACCTTGGAGTTTGAAGCGACCGGAGAATGTTGAAAACAGGGTTTTTCGACTTTGGAGCCGAGGTCAGCACAGGACTGCGACGAGGATCCGCCTCTGCCGGGGGGTGAAGATGACCGGCCGACGTCCCAAACGTGGATTGTGCCATGATTCGCTGGACGACGAGGGACGAGGGTCCTGAAGCAGCTGTTGTGGAGTGATCATCCGTATTACAAGTGCGGTTATGGCGACCTAAAGTTGGAGTTCATGCAAAGTCTGCATAGACGGGTAGTTATTCAGTGCTTGTGGGAGAACCCAGCTGTTGCTTCCTGCATCAGGTGGGACCAGAAAGTTGTGGAGGTGACAGAGGCGTCTGTGTTGCTGTTTGAGTGTCTGGTGCAACTTTTGTGGGAGCTGTGGTGCTGCAGGATGCCGGGAGCATGGTGTGTTCCGGGCGCATGGAGACAGGCAGCAATTCGCACAGCCCTTGGCCGTGCAGCGGTTCTAAGCTAAGACATTCCTTAGGGCTCCTCAAAAACGCTTAAAACCCCCCAAAAACCTCAGCAGACATGCTTGGTGTAAAGCCTGTGAAACCCGCGCAAGCCTAAACCCCCACTTGGTACTTGGTGTTGGATGCGTGGACGCTCCGACAGCGACGCGAGGTCTCACATGTTAAGCGTTTTCACAGCGTTTATGGTGTAAACCCTGTGGGTTTCGGTTGGCAATCCTGCATCCTGCCCTGACTCAGTTCCAGGTCGGACTGTTTGCCATCATCGTCACGGCTTGCCTCTTCGCACCATGCTCTGAAGGCATGTGACGGGCGGTCCAATCCCATAAAGGGCTTTCTTTGTCTCGGTCTGACCCATGCCAGGAAGTGCGTCTCGACTGCCTGCCCCAGCTTCAGCCGAGTGCACCGATGGGGCCTCAGAAAGAGTGCCTCTGCCGGGCTCGGTGGACATTCGCCTGCCTGAGGCCGTGTCATCTGCATCGTCGTCATCGGCAGAACTGCAAGCGTTGTGCTGCATTTCGCGGTCTTCCTGTTGGATCAGGCCACATCAGATACCGCAGATCCAGATGAAACTGGCAAGCCATGATGATCGTCCCAGGTATTGCTGGCATTTCACCTTCGGCGAGCAGAGAGGCAGCCTTTTTGCATAATGACGACGTCGTGACAATGCAAGCTGCACGGTCGCGTGAGTTCCAACAACTGTGTCGGGGCACGGGCATGTCGACACTGACGGCATTGTCGAGTTTGTCTCGACAGAGTTTCACGTTGCGGGTTACGGCTGCTTCCTATTCACACTCCAAGCCCAGGGCTGCACATCCTCTCCAGCCAGGCCACCGCGCTTGACAAGTGCAGCTCGTCCGACAAGAACTTGCCGCTGGAAGGCAGGAGCCAGAGTTTGCTTTCCATTGCTTCGTGATTTGCATGCATGGAATATGAGGAATGCCTAGCTCTGGGCCAGGCTTCAGCTCAAAACTGCAGAGCCAAGTGTTGCAGCGCAAAGCTTAACCCAAGTTTGAGTATTGCGCCTTGGCTGCGTGCAGCGTGGGTCGGCTGACGCAGGTCTGCATATTTCCGCTACGTCTTGTTGTGCGTCAACGATGCAGCTGGTTTGCATTCTCTCCAACAGCTGTGTGGCATTGGTACTCTGCTCTTGTGTGCACAGGTTGAGTCACTAATGGACGAGCTGCAAAATCACGCCGATCACGCATGCCGCTCAATTCCCGTCTGTGCTTCGTGACAAGTGATGTTGCTCCGGGACACATGCATTGAGGCTGAGCCATATACGCCTCATTCGCACAGTGATCCTTCTACGCTTTTCTGTTCCTGCGGCAGCACATTGGCGGAGTTAAGGACGACACCCTACATTGTCATGATGCACATCTTTTATAGTATGTCTCTGCCTTCCGATCTGCAGGCTGCATCTATCGCTTGTCGCAGTTGCAGTTGTGGCCTCATTCGTTGGTCCATAGGGCAGAGAAACACGCATTGCAAGTCACACAGATCGAGGCCTTCCAAGGAACAGGTCCATCAACTTGTGGCCTTCAAAGGGTCAGTCATGGTGCGTGCTGCCTGCTTCTTAGTCGGTAGCACTTGTGAATGGCATGGTGGCGCCATGCCGAATTGCTTGAGACTGTCAAGGCTGGCATGCTGCACATTCGGTTCAGCTGGTCGCTTTCTCCTCAGACCCAACTGGCTCCGTCAGCTTGAGTCCACCACCACGAGTCACGAGTCCAAAATGCCAGGCCTGGAGATGCGTGGACTTGGCTTCGAAGATTTCTCTTCGACAGGGAGCTTTTCAGGCTGGAACGTGAAGTGATTCCACATGGCCCATGGCTGCTTGGCTTGCCAGCCAGGCCTGGCAGCTCTGCATGCGCCACGGCCTTTGACCATGTGCGCTTTGGAGATTGGGATGGGGATATGAAGAGCTGCTTTCCATCCTCACGTCGCGAGTCCATAAGGCAGCAATGACAATGGGCGACTGGGTCGGCCCACGACATTTATTGCTGTCCTGCAGCCAAGATGTCCTCATTCCTACTTCAACAAGATGTGATGACAGGTGGAAAGCCTCCTGCGACATGAGAAGCTACCCGACTGAGAAGTGTTACTGGTCGTGTCCAAATCAGATTCAGGCAGCAGGCCCAGGCCTGCCTCGTCTGGAGGAAGTGTCGGATCTTCTGATCTCCGGTCGGCGGGAGAGCCTTTGTCATTTGTTGGACACATCGATCTACTGGTACAACTACAATTTTACAACCTTGGATACAGCTGTAATTTTGGCCCGGACAAATGGCCGGGTCATGTAACATGCATGGCAGAGGCAAGTCTGAAGTGTCGGTCGTTTACTTGATGAGTCTTTGCATCAGTTGGCTTTGATCAGCTGGAATCTAGAAATTATCTGTTGATGCTCCGCTGACTCCTAATCCCGCACAAGCGCATGAAAGTAATCTTGGTCTTGGTCAAGCCTTCCAAGCTGCTGGTTACCCCGGACTTTTCAGCATGTTTGAACGCCCTTTCGCCACGGCCTGCTGCGTGGGGTTGCGTGGCCTCAGGCATTGGGACATGCAGCGGTAACTTGGGGTTGGGGCGGTTGGGGTGCGTGTGCTCGCAGCCTCGGCTTCAAGCAGACCGACTGCAAAGCCTAAAACTTAAAACCTTGAGACGGCGCTGAACCAAAAGCTGGTGCAATCAGAAGCGACGCATTGTGTAGATTTCGAGGCTCAGATGGAACAAAACCTAACAAACTCGAAAAACTATGCACTGAGGCCTCTATCTGGTGTTTGTTATTGTTGCAGCACAAGATCGCTTCCAGCACAACACACTAGGCACATGAAACTCCTGGATTTGTTGTGCCCGTTCCCGGAAGCTTATGGACAGATCGCATTGCCGAAATAAGCTGTCGAGGCAAGCTTGTCGATGCTGCAGTTGCTAGTCTTGCCCAACTGCGATCGTGAAATTATGCGAGCTTCAGCGCAATTGCTTGTAAAAGCGGGGAGCTTTCACATGGACAGAAGCCAATAGACAAGACCGCTTCGTGCTGGAAGGCAGTGTATGTGTTTCAACATGTCATGAACAAAAGCTTCGGGCTTACTTTGGAGCGTTACCGTGCCATGCTGTAGATCCTGAATCTAGGCTGCAGGATCTTGAAGGTGCATGGCTCGCCGGCATGATTCCCTCCCAGCACACATTGTTCTGAGGAGCTCGAGCAGAACATGACCTGCAACCAACAACTTTTCCTGCTAGACTGCTAGACAGGGTGCTTCAGTCGTTGCACGTCTCAGTGCAAGTACCAATGCTCCGTGACTGCCTCAATCCTTGTCAACAGCCATGTCGTATTTCCCGGTTCGACGCCAAGCTGCGGCGTTGCCCAACCTCGTGTCTGAAGGTCTTGCTTCCGAAAGCATTCGCCCTCCAAGAACGATGGGCATGATGGATTGTCAATGCGACAGCGGCCGTAATCAAGTTTTCGACGTGACGAAAGCGTATTCCCTACATCGCGAACCAATCAGCGCACCCACGTACTTACGAAGGCGCTTTCGATGTTATGTTATTTTTTTGCGTGTTGCCTGCCAGCGTGCATCGTGGCACCGGCTTTCAATTCACAAAGCGCAGGGAGAGTCCAGAGTCCGTGATGTCATGGTTTGATGACTCTGCACATCTTTGCTTTGTTTCGGTCCTCGTAACACATGTAGCACTTGGTGGGTACCAGGTATTACGACGTGGTGCTCCCACGATTGCCGGTGAGATCGGCTCTCAAATTCGTACCAGCAGCAGGGTTGTTTCGCGTCTACCGGGCGACAGCGTGCAGGTCTCAAGCGAGAGATTGCGATGGAGCTTGTGCAGTTGCCTGAGCTGCGCGAGGCAACCAGCGGGACTTTGATGGTAGAGTCGGTAGAGAGGAGAGCGACAGAGAGAGAGCTCGGGGTTGAAAAAAGAAAGAGGGTGAGCCTATCGTCATGTCGGGGAGCCGGGGACCGAAGCTTGCACCCCTTGCTGAAGCACCGCACCAAGCCAAAGTAAGTGTGTGTGTGTGTGTGTGTGTGTGTGTAGTGTTGCTGTGCTGAATGACCGCTGGCGTTTGCCAGCACTAACTCAGGCTTCAGGGGGGTGGGCAGGTTCAGGCAGTGCAGTTGCGCGAGGTTCCGGTCGGTATGAGAGGAGGTGTGTCGACAGCCATGGGGTTTCGGCTTGCTTCGGAGCTTTTGTCATACCAGGGGTGCCCTGATGTTAGTACCACCGCCTTTTAGAATGGCAGACCTTGGCAAGTGAGGAAGCTCTTCTGCGACGCTGTTCATGTCAGCTTGAGCAACCTGCGAGATCTTGGCTGACTGCCTTAGGCAGATGCCATCAGTGTAGTGTCGTCGTCCTCATGGAACAGCAATTGCGGGATGCTGCTCAGGACACTGCCCTAGTCAGAGAAGCCGGAGAGGCCACCCAACAGGAGAAGCAGAGACAACTGATGGACCTGGGTCTGAGCGTCCAGGCACTGTCGAGGCCTGCTGGTGACTCTGAAGAGGGGGAGCCATCTGCAAGAGTGCTCACCACACAGCAGGTGGAAGAGCATGCGATGTCAGTGTCGGCAGGTGGAGAGGTGAACCTCGCAGACATGTTAGCGGAGGTTGCGACTTCCGAGGTAACTGGCGAGGCGACACCTCGGGTTGCCAGCCAGACGACGCCTGTGGGAGAAGTGCCAAATCCTCTTACTCCCATATGGAGGCACTCTCAAAGAACTGAGGCGGCAGACATCACGGAGTTTAGGACTGCAGCGGCTAGCGTGAAGCTGGAGGCTCCAGTTGCTCCGAATGCAACTGGAGATGCTGCTCAGGCTCCCGAGGCAGCCTCTGCACTAGTTCGCAATGCTACTCATCAGAACCTCGATCTTCAGTTGCTGCAAGTGGCACCGAGGGTCAAGAGGGAGGCTACGGAGCAGCAACTGGGCCCTGTGGCCGCCGCGGCTTGCAACCTGGCCGTGGGAGTCGTAGCTCAACAGTTGGCGGCTGCTCACATACGGGAGCTGGAGAGACAAGAGAAGAGCCACAAGAAGGAGATGGAGATGGCCGTACGTCTAGCGACGGCAGAGGCTGAAAACCGGATTCTGAAGGAGCAGAATGCAAGTTTGCTGCAAAAAGTTCCGGCAGTGACTTCCACTGGAGCCGAGCCCGAGCCGGTAGTGAAAGTGGAGGACGCCCCAGACGGTGAAGAAGAAGCATCCACAGCCATGACATGCTTCAAAAGTTGTGTCGTGCCGTCGCCGTGGCAACCTCCTTTCAGCTTGTTCCAAGTCTTCGTCTGCCTGTCGTACGGCCTTGTTCAGGAGGGCTCTACATTCCCCAAGGCAGTCGAGACACAAGTCTTGGAAATAGACAGAAAAAGAGGACGGAGCGACCCGAGAAGGAACGACTTGCACGGCACTCTCATCGACATCGACTTCACGAAGCTTCCCGAGCACACCGACCCCGTCCGTGGCGTTAAGGCTCTCAGTGACTTGGACACAAAGGCGGGGACCGCTTAATTAATGTTGGCGTCTGCTCGTGCCTGCGTCTAACAGTAGTGGGCGCCCGGAGCGTCCACTTCTCCTCTCTAAGTCTTCCCAACTCTGGTCTTCCCAACTCTGCTCGCCGGAACTCTGCTTTACCCCATGTCTTCCACGAACTCTCGCCAGACCCGTCTTCCCAGATTAATCTTCCCAGAATGGTCTTCCCAGAATGGTCTTCCCAGAATGGTCTTCCCAGAATGGTCTTCCCAGATGGGTCTTCCCAGAATTGGTCTCCCAGAACTGGTCTCCCCAGAATGGTCATCCCATAACTCAGAGATAGTGTCTTCACATTCATGGTGCATCTATGCCATACCTACAGCAAGCCTTCCCTGCAGTGCGTCTGACTCGTGCTGAACGTAGCTGTACAGCCCATGCAACTTCACGCACTGTCTTGAGACATGGAGTTGCTACGAACACACAATCGGCTACGCGAAGTGAAAAAAAAGCCCTGTCGTTGAGAAATAGAGCAATGGGTCGGGAGCTTTGGGAAGGTCGCGGTATGAGGTGGGGAGGCAGGTCAGGTTGGGATGCTAGGGGGGAGCAAGTCTTTCACTTCGGTCATAGGGGGTCGAGCTCACGTCCAACCTTGCCTTCGGTACGGAAGGAGTGGATGATGCGAGTGTGCCGGGATACTGGTTTAGGAGGGGTGTTTGTCGGGGATTCACAGGCACTCGGAGGAGCCTTCGGGCCAAGGGTCCCGACGGACCCTAAACCCCGTAGCAAGCAAGCAAGACAGTATCGTTATGCCCTTGAGTGCGAGCTTCATGCAACTTGTTGGCACCCGCAACGTGGGCCAAGCGGGAGCAGAACGCTGACAACCGGGGCTAGTCGCAGCGCACTCAAGCCGGCGATCAGCAAAGGTATCTGCGATCTTTCATGCTCTGCATCTTCCTCTTTCTCAGCACAATTCGGTGCCAGAGGAGCCGAGCCAGTGCGTCGCACAGTCGGAAACCACTACCGTCCTGATTGCGACCCCCGACTTCGGCATTGGCGTTCGATCTCGTGCTGAGGTTCCAAATGCCAACGACCGAACAGACAGATTCGTCCATGGAAGATGTTATTCCTGGCGAAATTGTGAAGCCTGCGAAATACATGGAGTCACTGGACAACGTCATGCCATGCTTTTGCCAGGATTCGGGAGAAAACCTCGTGTGCACAAAGCAAACAGCAAGAAGAGGGCTGACCCTAAATTGCAGTGTCACAGCGTACGGCTGTGCGGTGCTTGGATTCATTTTACCAAACTGGAAGCTTATCACCCTCCTAAACTTGGTTTTCGTGCGGAATGTCGCAGTAACCACAGTAAGAGAAGGAAAGAGGCCAGCAAAAAAGGCGGGCAGCAAGCAAGGAACGCAGGATTGCAGGAAAGCACGCAGGCAAGACGGCAGGAAGGAAGGAAGGAAGAGAGCGACAAAGCGTGCCTTGTGGACGGGGCCTTGCCAAGTCCTGCTACTGTTACAAGCTTGAAACAAAGAAGAGACAGAGACCGAGTAGGTGCGGGGCGGCAGCTCGCTCCTTAGAGACACAATGAACAAACACGAAAGAGTGGGACACACGCAAGTGCCAGGTCCTCGAGGACGTGAAGCCCAACTTAGGGATGTAAGAGCAGATTTCAGGCTCAACCTGGGCCCGGCACGTCGGTTCGTAGCAGGTGGTGAGTGCCCACTTTGAGCACGGAGGGATGAATGAGCGCGGAGCACCCGAAAGCCTTACGTAGTAGATACAGGCGATGTTGATCCGAAAGAACAGTCCCTGCATGATATGAACCATCACAAGAGCAGTTATGATGCGGTTTGCAAGTGTTGATAAGTGCAGAATTGCGAAACGAAGCGCTAGTTTGGGAAGTTGCCCTCCCTCTGACTTTACTGCCGCCAGGCTCAAAACAAGAGTTCTCGACATGACCTCTTGCGGCGCGTCGGGACGGCGGTTGATGTTCTCAGCGGAATGAGCCCTCGGCATGTGTCGACTTGTTGATTAGTAGGTTTGCAGCCATTGCTGCCAATTAGATGATTCCGCTAATGCACCGTGTTCTGGCCAGGACTTGGTGCTCTGCGGCAGTGTTGACAAGTGGCGTGGAGCCTGTACCCGAATGCAATGTCAATGTCACAGCCTGTCAACCAACTACCCCAGGCATCGTGGGACGATCGCTTCTCGTGCGTGTGCAAATGGACGATGGCTCCGTACAGGAGGTTCCTTGTGGCTTGCTTCGGCCAGCTCAGCCCCTTCCTTGCACTGTGTTGCTGTATGCTCCAGAGCTGGAGAGATCTCAAGCACAGCTTCGTGCAGTGTCTGTCTTCAGGCAAGTCAAAACGCGGTCCAGGTCTCCCAGGTCTCTCCGTTCTACGGACAAACTCTGTGTGATGCCCAGAATCCAGCACAGTTGTAGACAGAATGAGTGGCCGATTCAGCTTCGTCCAGAGACGTCAGGGAGCCCTTGCTAACAGCCTGCAGGTGAAGAGTTTCTGCGACGCGATCGTGCGAAGGCTGTAACGGATGCTAAGCCGATCTGCTCAGCAGTAGAATTGTAGGCACACACTTCGCCTTGAGTAGTGGCTGGTGTTAGCCCAGGCATGGGTATTTCAAGCCCATCCCAAAGCTGAAGAAAATGCTCATGACCAAAGACAAGTGCCAGAGCCTGTTCTGAGTTGAACATGCACGCCCGAGAGTCTACCCTGCAACAAGGCTTGAGGCACTCGGCACCGGATGAAACATCGCCTCTTTTGGTGCGCAGTGCCAAAGAGGATTTGCCAATGTGTTGGTATTCCGTGCTCTTGCAACTGAACCTGTAGAATCAAGCAGGACCTGGTGCAGCCAGCACAAGTGGATCATGCCGTTCCGGAGGCATTCCAGATGTGTGGTAGGAAGTGTTGCTCCTGATGACAATGGTGGGAGGAGAGGCGTTCACAGCTCATGCAAGCCGCCTGCTCGCGGTTCTCAGGGCAGTCCTTTCACATTATGGAACTGACTTTCCTGCGGTGAACCTACTCAAGGTCATGCGCAAGTACGCATCTGCGGGCATTTCGAGATCGCTCTTTGATCGCCAGGCCCCCGCACGGCATGACTCGTGACCCTGGTCCTTACGTTTGTTCCTGTGTGTCGAAAGCAGCGTCCTCGGGGACCAGGGCTGAACTTGCACAGATTCGGCTCAAGCATGAATGAACCCTCAGCGATTTCGATAGCAGCCTCTGCGTGTCGCGTGCATCTTGTCGTTGATGCACGGGCCTGGCAGAGCAACCTCGTTCACACCGTTTGCGCTGGAGTGCCCGCCAGCACCGACATATGAGCTGCAGGCAATCGTGAAAGCCCAGGAGAAAGCCAACGAAGCAATTGAGCTGGCGCAGAACATGGGTGCAGAAAAAGCTGCGCACTTGGCCAAGCGGGCCGTCGATCGCATAAGCATGGTGCAAGGTTGGTTCACATACTACGCCTACCGAATGTATTCGGACTTGCAGGACGATATCCACGAAGCCCGTTTCGATTTGGAACAGGCTGCTCAAAGCGCTTACAGTGAAGCATCTGGTTCCGAAGCAGGAAATCTTCTGTCCTGTGCGGCAGACGACCTGCTGACATATGATCCTATGCCGAACATTCATCCGATGGACCATCGGCTGAGCTGCATGCCAAGCTGGACAAGCTTGCCTTTGCTCGAGTTCAGAGAGATCACACGCAGTAGCAAACGCTTGCGAAATGCAAAGAGTTTCTTCTAGGCCGGGCGAAGAGCACCTGGCTGGACCTTACGATGCCGCGGAGCCAGAAATAGGGCCCACTGCTCGCATTCTGTCAGGGAGTTGGGGCCCAGAGAGGCACAAACGGACGCGATGAAACTGGCTGTGCCGGACATTCAGTGCAGACAGCTTTTCCAAACCGGTACTTTGTCACGGTGAGACATGCGCTGTGGCGTAGCTTTCTTAATTTCTTTTCGATGCCTGCTTGATTGTAGGCAAGTTGATGGCGCTGGCATGTCCCTGGTTCTGTCGTCGGTTAGTCCCGAACATGGCAGGACCGCTTTGAGTATCATGACTGGAGTTCGGCTGCGACTTCTGCCACAGAAGTTTTGGTGCGCACCCCAGGGCTCCTGTTTGGTGGTAGGTTGTCCTCGTTTTGGTTAAACTACATAGACATTCTTGCTGAGTTCCAAGGTGCCTGAGACACTGAGGCTAGGTTATTAGCAGGCCGCCTGCTGGTTTGCTGAGACATCTTGTGGGGGAGAACAAGACGACTCGGAGTTGGAATGCGCTCCTGGTATACACTCGCCCAGGATTGTATGCATGCTGTATGATCAGAACTAGAAAACATGGCTTGCTGAGCAAGTCTCGTTGCAGTGCAGTCAAGAAGGCCTATCCTTTTTCAAGGACGGGCCAAGTAGGGGTTCACTTTGTCTCATTTTAGAGATTTGGGGAGCGAGATCACGAGCGGGAAGATGCGGGCTGCAGCCCGCTGCAGCACGAGCTCCAGCTCCAGGTGCAAAAGCTATCAGTAAGAGTCACATGAGGCCCTTGCAGCGTGCCATGTCTGGCCTGTGTCGCGGCCTTGCAAGCGTGTGCCATAAAGGATCGTAAAAGTCAAGCTTGTGTGGGCCTGTTGCGTCCATGTCCGTACCCCATCCCTCGTCCCCATGGGCCAAGCAGCCGGCGCAGCTGTGACACACAAAGAGAGTGGTAATGGGCACTGCAGCGTGAAGCAGTTGTCATGGGGCTTCAGCTCCATGCAGGGCTGGCGCCCACGAATGGAAGACTCGCATTTTGCTATGGCTCATTTGGGTGGAGACTGGGCAGACACTGCAGCGTTTGCTGTGCTTGACGGCCATGGAGGCCGTGAAGTTGCTTTTTTTTGCCAACACCGCTTGCCATCGGCCATTGCGAGGCACCCGCGTGCAGACCCTGAAGCTGCCTTGAGAAAGGCTTTTGAGGGAATGGATGAACTCCTGTGCAGACCGGAGGAGCAAAGCTATCTGCAATCGTTCACGGGAGCGACCCGCAACGGCAACAAGATGTCTGATGCGCGTCGTGTGGGTTGCACAGCTGTCGTGTGCCTCGTGCAGTCGGAGCAGCTCATCGTTGCCAACGCTGGAGATAGCAGGGCAGTCCTGTCACGTGAAGGCTTTGCCGTTCCGTTATCAGAAGACCACAAGCCAAACCTTCCTACCGAGCGTGATCGGATTCTGAAGGCTGGTGGTGTCGTAGAGCGACAGCAGATCGGCAAATTTACTCAGCACAGGGTAAACGGAAACCTCAATCTCTCCAGAACAATCGGTGATTTGGACTACAAACGCAACTCGGCACTGCGCATGAGTGAGCAGATGATTAGTTCCACACCGGATGTGACTTACTTTCAACGGGAAGCAAGCGATGATTTCATACTGTTAGCTTGTGACGGTATATGGGAGACAATGAGTAGCCAGGATGTGGTGGACTTTGTCAACGAACGTTTGAAGAAGCATGCAGCGGCAGAACGGCCTTTGTCCAACATTATGGAAGAGCTGCTGGATCACTGCTTAGCACCAGATTTGACAGCCTCAGGTGGCATGGGTGGTGACAACATGACGGCACTGCTTGTTTTGCTCCAGCCGAGATGTGGGCTGATCTCAGGGGTCCAGTCAACAGCATCCCACTGCTCACCCAGAGCCGCAGCATGGTGTTCGTGCCACTAACTAAAACAGGGTGCAGCCGGCGCTCTGCGCCGTGTTTCACTCCAGGACCCCAGTGCCTCAAAGCGGGCAGATTGCAGACGTGCAGTCGCAAAATATCACCGAGTAGCATCGTGCAGTCAATCGGCGATGATTCTGCTGCGTTTAAAGATGCTGTTATTGGTCCCACGTTGATCGCTGGCTGCTTGCACACCAGCTTTTGCAACATCCAGAGTGCAGCAGATGGCAGCTAATTTCGCTCCAGATCATATCATGCATGTGCCATCTTCTCAGACATTGGTCATGCCCGCGCAGCAAGCTCATGGCTCTGCGACAAAATGCGCCTGCCGAATATCGTAACTTCATACTTCGAGCGGAACTGAGTCGTGATTCGTGCATGCTCAACTCTGATCAATCTGGACTGCTGTTCATTTTCGTTTGTTGCTCCATTGCCTGTTTATGAGGTGAAGAAGCCCAACAGTTCCCAAAAGGCGGGCAGACGAAGCTTGATCGACTGGATACATGCCCAGCAGTTGTAGACAGCGTCAGACTGTCGGATTAGTAACTTCATCTGCATCGCGGCTGACAGGGAGTGAGTGCGTGTGTGAGAGAGAGAGGTTTATGGCATGAGCCTTGTTTTGGCCTGCACTCTTTTGCCACGCCTCCTGACCCGATAACACATCGGGTTTGCTTGACGCCCGGGGGCCTTGACCGGCCCTCAAGCCCAGAGAGAGAGAGAGATTTTGGCTCAAGTGTCCGCACCTTTGCCTTGGGGGACTGTAAACCCTCCTTGGTACGGGGGGGGAGGCACGCGGTTGGCCTAAGGTTGTAAGCCTTAGGAGAGCCGTGCTGCTTTCCCCTGCGGCGCTTGAGTCACACGCCGCTGCTCATTTTGCTTTAGTGGCCCTAAGGGTTTTTCGCTCACGGGACCCCTTGACCACGGCCCTCCTTCGGGGGGTGGCCCGTCAGTAGGGGGGGACCGGCATACAGGCAAACTTCCTGGGAAGATGCAATGTCGACTATGCAGGGAAGCTGGGGGGATATGCAAACCCGGCATGCGGAAGGTGCATGTGAGAAGCGATCCGGCGTGTCGGCTGCACGGAGTTACAAGCTTGGCCAATGTCTCCGTGGCCAGCCCAAAAGCAAAGCCACGAGCACAACAAGGCGAGGATGGGGGGGAAGCTGCTAGCTCCTCTTCCAGACGTGCGCCAAGCCTTGACCGCATGGTGCAGCACGAAACACGTGGGGGACTTCACTTTCTCTTCCACCCAAGTCCGCTCGATGTATGGATCGGGCGCAACGTACAGCACAACGATGAGACCGGGAAGCTCTACGACGAGAAGGGGGAGCCGCTGGGGGAGAGCGACCGGGAGGCCTATGCTGGCTATAGGGGGAGACTTTCTCAACGCCGAGCCCTAGGAGCAGCAGCAGACAAGTTGGTGAAAATCACGGACGAGTTCATGCCCCGCATCACCAACGAGACGCGTGCCTTCATAATGCGTTTCCCTCACCGCATCCCAAAACTCCTGAAGGATGCCCGCAAGGTGAAGAAGAAGAAGAAGCAAGCACAGCGGGGGACGAGGGCAGCACAGCACAGCCAGGACAACCACCGCATGCGGCCCACGACACCTCCACCTGCCCACGGAACACCTCGCCACACTGTTGGACAGACAAGCACAGCAACCGCCGGGGGACCGCCACGCCCAACTGGCACAAATCAGCACAGCCGTCACCAAAGCAGGCAGGAAGGAGCACGCAAAATTCACCGAGAGCAGAGCACTCAAACAGGCACGGCGCACAGCCCACCTGACAGCACCAGGGGGAGCAAGGCGACAGGCATGGAAGGACGTGCAGAAACAACTGCACAAGGAACACAAACAATGGAAGCAAGCCATCGAGCAGAAGGCGGGCCCGCGTACCGGCAGCACAAGCGGGGGGGCGGGGGGGACGTGTGGATGGCGACCCGGACAGACGAACACGACTGGCAGGGAGCACTTCTCGCCCACTTTCAAGCTATCTTCGACAACGACAGCAGCCGCACGGGCGACAACGACTTCAACCTCCGCCGCGAGCGGCTCCGGCGGATCTGCAAGCATACACCATGGCAACCCTTCACAGCCTGCGGTGCGATGGAAAAACAGCAAAAGCACAGGACCGGACCAGATCTCCCATGAAGCCTTGCGTGTTCTGCTCCAGCACCCAGTTTGGGAATATCGCGTCCTCGCCATGCTGAATGATGCCCTCTACACAGGGAGATTGCCAGCAGCCGTTGAACGCGGAGTCACCACACTCCTGCCGAAGGGGGCGTCCCCCCAGAACTGGGGGGAGTTGCCATTTTGAAGGCCATCGCCCAACTACTTCTGCGCCGCTGCGCCTACACACTCAAGCCCCTCAACACGCTGCAGTGGGCATCCGTGCTGTGGCTGGCCCTACTTCAAGCAAGGGGGGTGCTGGTGGAGGCCGGGGGGGAACGCATCCTCGTACCACAATCCAATGGCGTGCGGCAGGGGTCTCCAGACTCTCCGGTGCTTTTTTCGGCCAGAGTTGGGCAATGCCTTCAACAAACCCTCGGCCAAACGCAGCGGGGGAATCGCTGTGGGGGCAACCCCAGGCTCCCCCCCGCACCCCATCACGGGGGGAGCTTTATGGACGACACCTACCTGTGGGGAGAGAACCCGCGCCACTTGCAAGCCACACTGGACATCCTCCAGAAGATCCTTAGGCAGCATGGCCTGCGGATCAACCCCAAAAAGACGCAGATTATATGCAGCACCAGCAGCCCACAACGTTTCCAGATAGACGGGCAGTGGGTGCAACCCCAAACGGGGAATGCAGCGCTGAGGGAGGGCACCGGGGGAGGCATGGACGGACTGGAACAAGCGCTCACTCAGAATGGCGCGCACACACCTGCTCAAAAACAAGATTGAGCGCTGGTCCACCTACATTCTGCGCATGATTTGGGGAGTCTGGGGGCATGTGGCAAGGGCGGGGGACATCACCTACCAAATGCTCATGTGGAGGGGGATGCACTGGTGGAGACAGCAACAGCGGCTGCCCGACGACGTGGGGGCCAGACACTCGGCCCGCTTCAACAGCAGCCTCGACACAGAACGCCACATCGTTTCCGTTGCGGGGGAGCACTGGGGGAGGTTGCCAGGGACCGCCTGGCATGGGAGGCCCTCGAAGAACGATTCATTGAGGCCAACGACCCCCCCTGGTGCTCGGGCAAGCAAGCACAACTCGAAAACCTGGCACAAGCACGAGCAGACGCCAAGAAGGCCAAAGCATTGAAAGACAAGCGAAAAACCCGCAACGCGGGGAGACGACTGCTTATCTATAGCAAATGAAGGCCTGCGCCTGAACAAGCTAGGGGGAGCCAGCACCACACCGTTGCATGTTTTTTGCACGCTTTCGCTTGCGTGCTGCAGCAGAGAGAGAGGGAGCGAGGACCGCCGTTTGCATGTCCTGCACCAGACCAGCACATGTTCAGTTTGCATGACAGTCAGACAGTGAGTTGCCTTCAAGTTTCAGCGGGTGCAGTTGCCAACATGACATGCCACGCCACCACGACCGGAAGCTTGGCCTCCGCAGCACCGGCCCGAGCCTCAGTGCACCACCTATACGCCACGAAGGCCATGGCAGCGCAGCGGCCCAAGGGAGGATGCCAGCAGAGACAGAGCCGCGTGAGGCGGTAGCGAGAAGGGGGACCACCAGAATGGGGGAGGAACCCCCGCCACCAACCACCACTACAACCTCCCAACCACCACCTCCACCACCACCAGAATCACTTACGCAACAGTGGCCAGTCGGTACCACATGGACACAGTTGGGGGATGGCAGCCCAACCTCCCGCAAGAAAGGTGGCAGGGGATGGGTGCCGGCGCAAATGGTTTCGACACGGTGAAGATGTTGAAGACCCTCTGCATTATCCGAAGCTTGGAGTGAGTCTGTTACGGCGTGAGCCCCCCTGGCCGGTCGTGCTGCTCGTACGAAGGAGTCTTCAGAGTATTTCGCTTCTTTCGGCAGCTGACGCAGCTGGCATTGATGATCACCGCCGCTTGACAGAGGGCCGGAGACACGCATTTTGTTCCCTTCCCCAGACAACCTTAGGCCCTAAGTCCTAAGCCCTTTGTGGTATTCCGACTAAGCAGCCTAAACCTCAACGCACATGAAGTTCCCAACCCCTGTACCATTGCGCTGCCCGGAAGGCCTCGAAGCCTTGCGGCCGATCAGGGTGCTACAGGCTGGAAGCATCTCTCGTGTCTGGCAAGTGCGCTGGTAGCCCGGTCATACAGAGTCCGGCATGAGCACTACAGACCCGAAGCCCCCGGCACGAGCGAGTCAGCAGGAATCACAGCAACCAATCAGCATTCGGGGGCTTGGAACCCAATACGGGTCTAGGCTGAAAGTCAGGGCAAGGAAGGACATGGCCATGGGGTTTGCAGTAGCTTCATACTTTTGGATCAGTTTATTGTGAGCTTCGTGAGACACACGTCGTGCCCACACGGCCATGGAACCAGCCCTGCCTGTTGAAGAAGAAGATCCAAATCCTGCCCGTCCGGCGAGACGAAGCTTGCAATTCCAAGAATTGGAGCGTGTCTCGTATTCGGCAGACCGTTTACCAAAGGACTTTATCAAAAACGTATTGAGAGCTGCTGCTAGACTTTGGGCCTCTACAAATGATGTCACGCTCGGAAACATATCCACACCCCGGCAGCTGCCGCGAGACGATTGGCGGTGCACGGCTCGCTGCCACCGCTGTGCTATGTGCGTCCAGGGAGCCGGCAGGGTCTTTGCCTTCACTGGATGCTGGGCGCGGGTCGGCATTTTTGAGCTCTCAGTGCAAAGCGCCGGCGCTTGTCATGGCGAGCCCCAAAAGGCGCGCCAAGCCAAGAAACACAAAGATGGTGAGATTACAGTTGGCGAAAGAGAACAGGTTTTGAAGGCAGCAGAGACTCTCTTGGTCACCAGCCGCAAAGCCACCACAGCTGCGGTTGCAATTCGCATGGGCCCGGGCATCCCCCGGGCGCGTATTCGCACGATCCTCCGGAACCACAAAAGCAAATATGGGGCAGGGACCCGCGAGTGGACAGAGTCCCAGGACACGTTCGAAGCTTTTGCTGCTACCCGAGACACGGAGAAGCTCGAGTTTGCCTACACTTCTAGGCCGGGTGCTTCGCATGAGGAGTTAGCAGCACGGGTAAGGGTTTTCATTTTCGCCCTCAGGACGCCTTTTCAGTGGGTGGTGCGGCTGACTGGCTTTTTCGAGGCTGCAAGGGACTTGCACAGCCGGCACCCAGATGCAATCCATGTCACGAGTGACTTCACGTTTCGCTTAGCGATCATGGGTTACTCCTACGGAGTGCTGTGCACCTCGACCGGCATTGGTTCAACAATTGTCTAGAGCCCTTGTTGACCCCAGGCTGACGGCTGCGCACAGATCAGTTGTTTCTCAAGCGGCTAAGGTCTTCGAGTGCACAGGCGCTTGCAGCAGACCTCTCGGAAGTCCTTCTGGCCAATGGTTATGTCGTGCAGTCGCAGTGAGGATGGGACCATCTACGGCCGCATGCTTGTCGCGCTTCGAGACGGGTTGGCCGCTCGAGGATTGCCAAAGCCCTCGAGCATCAGCTTAGATTGGTTCGACGGATCCAGAATTGCCTCTGCCTCTACCTTTCCACGCATTCAGCTCCGTTGTGGAGTAGAGCACATGCGGCGGAATTTGAAGTCCAATCAGTCCGCTGGCACCAGGCCTCCCCGGCAGGCCGCCCCCAAGGCCGCCGGTCGCGGGAGAGCACGAGCCCAGGCCAAGCCCAAGGCCAAAGCCAAGGCTAGGCCACCGCACTTGGTCAATCGGCCAATATGGGCCGCGCTTGCGCTGGTACGCTGTCTTCTTTTTGTCCCGACCGAGTCCATGCTACATGTATTTCTGACCGTGATCCTGGACCGCATTCGCCGAGTCTGGTTGGAAAACCGGTGGGCTTCATATTGGGAGAAGGAGTACCTGTGCTGGAGAGATGTGCCGATGGAAACATATGGCGTTGCAAGGCTCTTCACAGCCCTCTGGTGGTCCGGCCTGGGATCTTGCAAGGGTTTGCACAGCGTGGGTCATCCATCCTCGCAACAGACAGCTGAGGCCGCCAATTCAAAGTTGAAAAGAGATTTGCGCAGCCAGGGAGAAATTCGAAAACATGAGGATGTGATCCTTGCCCTGGAGAAGTGTTTGCCTACATGGCTGGCTCCCCTGAGCCCTGTGGATGAGGCCAGCAACGAGCCTATTTCTATGATGGGCGACGTTCGCCTGGGCCGGCCAAGCTGTCCTGACCAGTGGATGTACCACGAAGGTGCCAACCTTCGCATGCCTGCTGGAGGTCATGTCGTCGCCTTCGCTAGCATCGAGCTCATTTTGCACAAGATGCGGAGCTGCAGACGGCGATTCCCCCATGAGACATGGGCTTCAGGAAACGCTCAGTATGTTGCCATGGCCATTGGTCACCCAAGGCAAATACCCCCTGGCACTTTGCAGAAAATGCGCGCCCAGCTGCGCACGAAGAAGGTAACGGATCTACAGAACTTGCTGCAAGCTGACGGCTTGCTGTACCAGGAGAATGACGACGGCCCTTTCTTTGACAAAGAGCAGTATGAGCAACTGTGGCAGACATGGTGTCTAGTGTGGTGCCTGACGGAGGCCGATGGATCGTACGATATCAGGTGTACATGCTGGGCCCATGCGTGGCGAGGACATTGTGTCCACCAGTATGCCTGCGAGCAGTTTTGGGACAAGAAGACGCATGTCGGTCAGCAGATCCCGCCTGCACAGCAGGACGTAGTCAGAGCTGGCAGACGTAGCAGGTCTGAAGAAGCACAGGCTCCGCGGGCACGCCTTCGCAGGTGATGGCAGGCTCCAAACAACCGGGGAGAGTTTGTTTTTTGCAATTTCCCATGTTTTAGGGACGAGGAGGATGTGCCGGTCCAGCAGGCGGGGCGGAATCATTGCTAGGGCATGGTTCCGCTTTGCCTTTTTCGCTGACTTTTGCACTTACGTGTGCTTATGCTTCCCGAGCATCACGGCTTCTTTGATGTGCCAGAGGCAAGAGAGCCGTCGATGCAGACGATGCGCACCAGACGATGCGCACCAGACCTCACAGCTGTGACACAAATGAGGTAAGCCTTGCGAGTGTTCCACCTGTGAAGTTTCGAGCCCCAGAGACCGCTTAATTAAGTATCATACTTTACGCCATATATGGGTTCCTAGTATAAAATTACGATATGTTCCTGAATTAGGGGTTTTGAAGTCACAGGAGCTTCAGGCGGGCGACTCCTAGATTTAGGCCTTGGCTGTGGGAAGTTTGGGTCTCGATACGACAGGTCTTGGGTCGCTTTGCGTTGCACATGAGGAGGAAGCGTGCTGCAGGAGATTCCGCATAGCTCGGCCCTGTGCCGGCATGTCTGACTGTGTGCGCAGGTGCTCGAGACTTGAACTGAGCGGCTCTGGATGTACACAGCTCGAAGCGTTCAGGGATGCTGCAGCGATGTGAATAGTGAATCACATCACCCGACTACCCTTGCTGCGCTCTTGGTGCAGCACTGTGCACTTGTTTGGCTGCATGTGTGCCTTGCCTCAGCTGTCAGCTTGGCTTCGGACCCCCAGGCACAGATCGAGGGCACACATGTGGCGCGGATTGCGGAGCAACAGTAGACTGTGAGCACAGTAGGAGTAAGTAGTTCCGTCCAGTGCTCCTGGTGTTAACCACTCAGCACTTGTTTCCATGGGAAGAAAGCGAAGCTCTTCGGACTCCGGCTGTGGACCTCAAGACTCCAGCCGTGTACGTGTGAGAAGCCCTTTAGACTCCAAGCGAGGACACGTGGCGGGCTTGTGTGCAGGAACATGCGGCATGCTCCATTTGTGCAAAGCATTCCCGGCAGGAAGAAAGTCAGATTCCAATGGGAGTGCGGCAGGCTTTGTTCAGGAAGACGATCGTTCCCATGTCTAGACAAATCGTGACGGGCAGGCAAGAAAGATGCGCCGTCAGACCCCACAGCACAGGAGCCCGACGGGCTTGCAGGCAGTGCTCTTGAAGGAACTACTATCCTGTTTGCAATCACTTCCCGACAGGCCGGGGTGCAGCTGCTCCGGTGCAGGACGAGGCCACCCACTCGAATTTGACAGCGTCTTTACATGGTAATCTGTCGTCCGGAGGTCAATCAGGAACCGCTTGAGGACAAGCCTCAAGAGGCTGAGCAGGGCCACGAAGGCAGGTTCTCTCAAAGCATGGCATGGCATGTTATTTGTATTTTCAGCAAGAATCCAGGCGGGACGGATGGTAAAGACGCAAAGCAACAGGCCTCCACAGCCAATGGCCAGTCGTGCTGCGATAAGTGCTGCATGCCACTACTCATTTTTCGTGCGGGCCGCGGCCGCTTGAATGGAACACTTGTTCAATCAGGAGGCGTTTGTGGGAAAGCCTCAAAAGCTTCAACTCGGAGCCGAAGGCTGGTTTCGATGTGTCACCGCATGCTTCGGTTATTCTTTTGCAGCAGTCCATGCAGGACTGCTGGTTGAAGGGGATGCAACCTGGCAGGCCTGCAAGTACGAATTGTGTTACTGTGCTTCCGCAGTGGGAAATGAGAGAATTCGCTCCTTTCAATGATTTTTTGACTAGGCTTTTGGGCTGGATTGCTGGATTTCGGGCCAAAATCCTGGTCAAAACTGCTGTCATCAGGCTTTTGACTAGGCTTTTGGGCTGCATTGCTGGATTTCGGGCCAAAATCCTAGTCAAAACTGCTGTCAATGGTTTTTTGATTGGCTTTATTGGCTGGATTTCGCGTCAAGGCCAGAATCCTAGTCAAAACTGCTGTCCAGGTTTTTGCTTGGCTTTTTGGCTGGATGGCTGGATTTCTCGTCGGCAGTTTTTTTTTGACTAGGCTTTTGGGCTGGATTGCTGGATTTCGGGCCAGAATCCTAGTCAAAACTGCTGTCATTAGGCTTTTGACTAGGTTGCTGGGCTGGATTGGATTTCGCGCCAAAATCCTAGTCAAAACTGCTGTCCAGGTTTTTGCTTGGCTTTTTGGCTGGACGGCTGGATTTCTCGTCGGCAGTTTTTTTTTGACTAGGCTTTTGGGCTGGATTGCTGGATTTCGGGCCAGAATCCTAGTCAAAACTGCTGTCATTAGGCTTTTGACTAGGTTGCTGGGCTGGATTGGATTTCGCGCCAAAATCCTAATCAAAACTGCTGTCCAGGTTTTTGCTTGGCTTTTTGGCTGGATGGCTGGATTTCGCGTCGGCAGGTTTTTTTGACTAGGCTTTTGGGCTGGATTGCTGGATTTCGGGCCAGAATCCTAGTCAAAACTGCTGTCCAAGTTTTTTTCTTGATTTTTGGGCTGGATGATTTCAACGTTTTTTTGACCAGGCTTTTGGGCTGGATTGCAAGGGATTTGTGATAGGGTTTTTTTTGAGCTTCGCAACCTCCAGAAGCCCCTAAGGTTTGATCGGGCGGATTCGCACCCGTGCAGGAAGTTGTCGAGTTGACGGACACGCCAATAGACCTTACCTCCTCTCCTTCGAAAGAGGATTGCCGGGCAAGCTTCCAACGGGTTAATGCATGAAAGGGGCTCCGAATCCTGATGTGTGCAGGCAAAGCTTCAGCTGGTCACGGCCCCGCAAGGATGGAATTTGATTCCCATCACACCTGATGGCTTGTGTGGATGGCATTCCATCATTGCTGGGCGCGATGAAGCTGCTTATTTAGCAGTGCCCCGGACACTTGGATTCAAAGTTCCAGCAAATCCGCAAGCAGAACTGCAGAGCCTGAACTGTAATATCCTCCAGCCTAAACCCCGTCTGCGAGGTCCGAAGTTGGATACCCGCTTGCGAGGGAGCAAGTCCTTGCAGAAAGCAGCCTCGCCACAGTCTTGCTGCAAAAGACCTGCGAGAATGCGTTGCTGCAGCACCCGAGCCGCGCAGAGGCAGATCGCAAAGTGTTCGCTTTTCAACACACACATGCATGCTTACTGGAGGCGATCGAGCGCGTCCAGAAAGAGAAGTTCTTCGAACTGCAGGATGCAGTCTCTGGTTGTCATGCTTCAGGGGATGTAGACATTCACGCTGTGTGCGGTCAGGACGTGGAATGGATTGCGCACACGCTGCAGATATCCATTCGAAGCTCTTGCGATCCGCAGGCCAGGCGCTCCGTCGATTGACTTGCCTTTTTGTGAAGCCCAGCGCTGTGTCTCAGGCGCTGGCCATCGCGCAGAAGCATGGCGTCGAGGGCTTGGCTTATGAAGACCGCGTGTTCGGACCCAATGGAGCAACCACGGCAGTCCACATTCATTTTTCGTGGAAAAATGGATGTGGGCATTGGGACTTGGTGGCTAGAGACCACCCGAACAAGGACAGCCGCGAGGCGAGATTTGCTGTAGTGCCAGCTCGTGTTGAGCAGCCTTACAAACTTTCGCAGTGGGTGTTCCAGCAGCTGTTGTGCTTTGGAAACGAGGCGGCTGACCCCGTGCGCGAGTCCTGCGTAGAAACTGCCGATGCAGATCGGCGTGCTCCAGAGGCACACGCCCCAGAGGCATTCGCAGTGGGTAGTCCAGCAGCTGTTGTACTTTTGAAACGAGGCGGCTGACTCTGTGCGCGAGTCCTTCGCAGAAGCTGCCGATGCAGATCCGCGTGCTCCAGAGGCATACAAGAATTTTCTAGAGAGCAAGAATCCAGTGCACAACGAGCAGCATAGTACCACTTACTACCCAGGTGAACTGCGAGTCTTTTGTTGCTAGACTCTGCTTAGATCTCGAAACACTTTCATGTGCAGGATGAGCCAAAGCCAATAGCCGAAAAAGCAAAGAAGAAACGGAACTTGGCCAAGGTTGCGCTTAGTTTCTTTTTCGCTCGTCGTTTCAGAAGCCAGCTTCAAGCCCCCGGAGTCTTTCAAACCTGCGTGCAGGAGCCCAAGCCCAGAGCGCGAGCAAAGGAGAAGGTGGCCAAGGCTTCCACGCTTTTGTCGGCCTGGGCACGATGTTTCCAATGCCTGGGTACGCTTGGGGGCTGTGCTTGTCCGTCCAAACTTGTGAGCAGGATCCAAAGTCAAAAAAGAAGACAGCTGGGAAAGCGGCAGCCGAGGCTGTCTCAAATTAGATGCATTACGAATTCCGTGAGACTTCTGGGACTTGACAACGAGAAGCCAAAACTCCTATCAACGGATTCATTGACAGTTTTTTCGGCTAGACTGCTGGGTGTCGCCCGTCGTTCCCGAAGCCAGCTTCAAGGACATGAAGGGGTGAGACCCCCATTCAAAATGGTGCGCAGGAGCCAAAGCCCGAAGTGCGAGCAAAGGAGAAGGCGGGCAAGGCCTCCACGCTCATATCGGCAAGGGCACGATAGTGTTAATTAGCATCTCAGTGTACGCAATGCCTGGAAGCGCTTGGGGGCTTTGCTTGTCCGTCCAAACTTGTGAGCAGGAGCCAAAGTCAAAAAAGAAGGCAGCTGAGAAAGCGGCAGCCGAGGCTGTCTCGAATTAGATGCATTACGAATTCCGTGAGGCTTCTGGGGGTACTGTATGAGTGCTGTCTTGCTTTTTGGCTGGATTGCTGGATTTCGCGCCAAAATCCTAGTCCAAACAGATGTCAACGGGTTTTTTAATGGTTTTGACTGGATTGCAGGATTTCGCGTCAGTTTTTTTTACTCGGCTTTCAGGCTGGATTGCTGGATCTCGCATTGTAGTCCAAACTGCTGTCCCATCAATGTCTAGGGTCAAAACCGCCAGCATCCTCGTCTAAGGCCTTTTGCGGGTTGTTACGCTCTTCAATCTTTTCAACAGTTTTGGTTTACAGGGTTGTTGGGGTGGAATACTGCTTTAGTCTGGAACAGGTTGGAGTCTGGGGGTCTCACAGCTCGTAGGAGAACCTACGTCGAACCATGTTGACGTTGCCCTAAACTCGCTTTTGCAGGGAGAGCGCGGAGGGCCAGACCACGACCCAATCGACGATTTGCCTGACAAGCACAGGCGAGCCAAAGTGGTGTTGTTCTTTGTTTCCTGTGTGAGCTGTTCATGCCTTTTACCAGGAGTGTCTATCTGGAGCTGCGTCGAAGCCCGGGTGCAGCAAGCAGCCGGGTTGCGAAGTCGACTGCCTTGAGGCGGGAGCTGGCGGCCAAGGCCAGGCCGGCCTTTCGTGTTGGAAGCCTGAGGGGCATGACATGAGCGCCGGGAGGTCCTTGCAGATCTCGTGCAGAAGAAGCTTGTGATCGAAAAGAAAAAGAAAAAATCCTTCGTGTATTTCCCGCACGACATGGTTCCTGACGAGCCAGAAGCCCCGGAGGACAAATGATCGCACATTTCCTCATGCAATTCACTTTCTGGACTCGGATGCTGCCTGCTGTCGGAGGAGCTCCCGGAACGAGAGGCTGAAGCTTCGGAGAAAGAGGATGACGCCAGGCCAGGTCTGGCATTTGGTCGTCTTCGTTTTACGTGTCCTCTTGAACAGGCCGAAGGCAGACAAGAAGAAGTTTCGAAGGGCGAAGAGTGCCTTCCACTTTTTCATGGCCTCCGTGGACTCTGCCGGCAGGGCCAGCACAGTGAGCGAGCGCAACAAGTATGCCGCGGGCCTTTGGAAAGGCTTGAACCCAGCGGAGAAGCGTCCGTTCCTTGAGCAGCACGAGGCCGCGAAGAAGGCCCTTGCACAGGCCGGTGCGGATGCAGTGGACGACGAGCTGCTTGATGCTTCCGAGTGGGAGGAGCGTACCTCCCAGCTCGTGATTTTCCAGACGCCGCCTGGTTCCAGCATCAAGCCAGAAAGGCAGCTGGCCGCTGTCTGGGCCCCCGCCGACGGCAATCCGCTCTTGGCGCAGCACTGCGGACCATGTGCAAGGATTTACTTCCCCGTCGTCACGCTCATGTCCTGTCCACGTTGCAGAAAGTCCCTGCAGAAGGTGCAATGGGATTCTGAAAGCCAGGTGTTTCGCGTGGAAGCTTCTACAATGCTCCTGCCTGGGACCCTTGCCGACCTACCCAAGGACAACAGCGAGGCCGAGGAGCGGTATGGCAATGAAGTCATCGTGCCAAAGCATGTCAGCAAGGAGGTTAAGAAATGGACGGATCGTGGGTTCCAGTTCAGCACGGCAGCACTGACTTTGTTGTGTAAGTCCGCGGAAGAGTTTGCGTCCCTCCAGTTCGTGCGTGGCGAGCAGGCGGCAACTCACCGCAAAAAGAAAACGTTGACACTGGCAGACATGAGATTCGGTTCGCGCATATCCGATGCAGCCTGCATGGGCAAACTTCTCCGTGCACGTCAGAAGGAGGCCAGGCGAGTTCTAGACAACAAGGGTTTGCTCCCCATGGCTCTTAGAGATTATATCTTACACAGCCAAGCCGAAAGATCCAACCCTGCGGAAAGGCCAGACACGAGGAAGCCGAGCAGGCCTGCCGTTCCACAGTCTTAAGATTGAGGTGATGGTAGGAGTAGCAGTAGCAGTAGCAGTAGCAGTAGCAGCAATAGTAGTAGCAGCAGCAGCAGCAGTAGTACTGTAGTAATAATAATAATAGTAGTAGGCCCTATGAGTCGCACCAAGAATCCTCGTGCAGAGTTGCATTTCGGTTTCAGGCGAAAGCTGTTCGCAAGGTCTCACAAAAGGCCCATTGTGGATTCGTGACACTTTGTTCTGACATGAACATGACATGGGGTGTTTTCAGGCCCAGCTACCGGATGTGCCAGAGAGCCAACTCACAGTGCCCGCCTTGTCAATCCAATTTTCACGTCGACACCATGATGCCTGGTGCTGCAAGGTGCTGGAGCTCCGAGTCCGCCTGTTCAAGCTTGGCAAAAGCTTCACGGGGAGCAAGCTTGAGCTGATCCAGAGGCTGTTGGAGCCACCAGAGGACACGCATGGGATTTGAGGCGTTAGAGTTTGCTCTCGTTTCAGAGACTTTGCATCTCAGGAGCACCGTGCTGTGCTCGCCGAAAGTGCCGAGGCCAGCTACACAACGTGATGGAGTGTTCTGATTCCAAAACTTCGCAGGAAAGGCATGCAGACTGTGCCGAGCCTGGAGCGGGACAGGCCGATACGAATGGCTCGAGAGTGTTGTCGTTCTTGTCATTCCACATCATTGCACAACTTTACAGGAAGAACATGTCGATCGTAGTCTGCGGGCTGTCGCTCTGGAGAACATCAGCGCCAAAGCCTGAAGCTGCTCTTTGCTTGGACATATCGTCACGTCTCCATGAGCATCCTCAGGCCTTGGAGGCACGAGTGAGGCTCGCGTCGATGGGCCTTCCGGCCAAGGGAAGACGAGTAGATCTGGTGCACAGGCTTCGCACTGCCAATGCAATGACGTAAGCTGTGCGTGCGTTTAATTGTCGCGCCGTCCTCTGCAGCTAGAAGTCTTTAAGCTTGGCCGTCTGCAAAAGAGCAGATGGTTGTGTACGCGGTGCTGCGTCGCTGGAACGTATCAAGAGATCTGTAGTCTCCATTATTAGGGTTCAGGGTTTAGGGTTCATTGTAGTTCCCTTTTATTTGTTTTTAATAGGATCCCAACCATTCACAGTAGGCTTTCGAGAGTTTTGAGACTCTGCCTCGATTCCAGACAGTTCGTGGCAACTCGCCAGAAAAGTTGCGCGGCTGCTGGGCTGGAGCAGTGGTTGCCGGAGGTGAGCATCTACTTTTGCAGTTTATGCGTGCGTTTCTGATGTGAGCGCTCGGTTTTTTTGGGGGGAAGGGAGGTTTTGGTTTCGTGTCGCGGAAGATGTTTCTTCCTTGCCGCGGTTATTCTTTGTTCCTTGTCGTGGTTGTGGGTGGGTCCTTGTCGTGGTTCTCCTTACTGCTTCTTGGCGTGGTTAAAGCTTGCCTTCTGCCAGACTGGATTTTGCTCAAAGCTGATGTTACTAAGGCGCACAGGAGAATCAAGATTCTCCTAAGAGAGTGGCGTTACCAAGTTGCCCAGCTTGGTGAGGAATGGTGGGTTAACACCGTAGGCACCTATGGAATGGCCAGTGCCCAGCTCTACTGGGGAAGGATGGCTGCCATCCTTCTTAGGATTGTGTATGCCGTGTTTCCCGAGGTCGACTGGGGTTTTGTCTTTGTCGACGACTTTGCCTGGCTACTCCGTAAATCGAATTCCCCTCTGCTGGCAACAGCGATTTGCTTGCTGTTGCTTGCTCTAGGCACTCCTCTGAGCTGGAAGAAAACCCTGCTTGCTGAGGTTAATACTTGGCTTGGCTTTGTCATTGACCCAAAAGGACCCTGTGTGCAGATGGCCCGAGACAAGCACCTGCTTGTCATCGGCATTCTTGAAGAGCTTAAAAGCGGTAAAGTCATGTCGGCTTCTCAGATCGCTAGCGCTTTGGGTAGGCTGCAGTGGGCGACAACGGCCTGCCCCCTCACCAAGCCTTTCCTCCAACCCTTTTGGGCTTGGAAGAAGGCCTGCCTGACAGCAGGACGTCCGGGTAAGCTTATCCGTGCACTCTCAGCTCTGCTCCTCTCTCTTTTTGACCAGAAGTTCCGACAAGCATCGCCGTATGCCCCGCTTGCCATTTGGTCGGGGGCAAGTGATGCTAGCGCCTCAGATGATGGCAGCGCCTATGTGGGCGGCTGGCTTTCTAACGCGGACTCCCCGTCCAAGTCGGAAGTGTTCTGGTTCCACTACCAGGTCACTGCAGAGCGGCATCCATGGGCCTTTGACAAGGGCTGCCCGAAAAAGCGCATTGCTGCCCTCGAGATGTTTGGCACACTGATCCTTTCTCACTTTCTCATGGAGAAGGCGCCTGCGTTCATACCGAACCTCAGGCTCCCCCTGGTCAGCGACAACCAAGGGAATGTGTACTCGCTCCTGAACGATAAGTCCAAGAGGATGCCAACGTCGGTCATCCTCATGGAGATACTGTACCAGCTGCACCGGCATGGTATGCAGCTCGCCCCCTCCCACGTCAAGCGTGACTTCAACACTTGGGCTGATGATCTGACTCATCCCAACTTTCAAGGTTTCACTCCATCTCTCTGCTTGCCGGTGGAACCCGTGCTCGAGCATTTTTCCCTCATCCGCTCTATCCTGGAAGATCGTATTTTCGACGATCCTGGTGACCTCACCCATGGGCCCGCGCAGGGCGCCCGGTGAGGATGTGGCTGCCTCCTGTACAGGCTTCTTTCTGGACGGCACAAAATTTTGGAACTCTTTTCTGTACAAGGAGGGTTCCCGATCCACAGGTGCCGTAGGCCCTGAAGGAGGGGACCCTCCTGTGTTTCGAAACGGCCTCTTTCTTGGCTGAGGTCTTCGACCGAAGGAACATCCCGGGAGTCGGCAGCCACACCAATCCACCATGCAAAAGAGGGCTTGCGTGCATGGTTTTTGGTGTGCCATTTTCATGCGGATATCTGACATTATGTATTGTTCCTCAACTGAGCCATTTCCTGAAACGGGGGAGCTGACCAATTCGACCTTTCACTCCGCCGTCCTATTAGCAGTCGACGCATGTTTTTTCAGCCCCCCGAAACGTTTTCCATTTTCTGTCACGGAGAGTATACACTTCTCTGAGCTCGTCATCGTATTCTTTAAGGCTTTAGCCCGAAAGAGATGTTATACCCCCCGAGACCCGCACAAAAGTCATGCGGGTGGGCTTGAAGCCCGGGGGTCTTGACCGACCCCTATGCCCGAGAGAGAGAGAGAGAGAGCCCCGCAAATGTAAGCGAGCCCTACGGGGGATGTGGTAGCCACAGGGGCGCGGGGATGAGGCCGGGACGCAGGTGGTTTAGTGTAAAGGGTGGGGCTCGCTACATGAAAACCCGGGGCACACTACTCACTACCCTGCCAAACTCTGGAAGAACCCCAAAGCCAACCACTCATTAACACAGTGGGAGGGTTGGGCGGGCCTATGGCCTGAGGGTCTTGACGACCCCTAAGCCCAGCAGAAAGAAAGAAAGAGCGCGGGGCGGGAGGACTGCTCCCGCTCCAAGCCCCTAGCAAAGCAAAGAGAGAAAGAGAGAGAGAGAGAGAGAGCGAAAGAGAACGGGGAAGGGGGGGCCTTGGCCCGGGTTCGCCTGGCGGACCTTTCCCCAGCAGCGAGAGAGCGAGCGAGAGAGCGAGAGGGGCAACTTCATTTGCATGACAGCGGCAGAATGCTGGATGTGCGCGGTTGCGTGTCGGCCATGCGATGAGTCATGACTCGTCCAGGAGCAAGGGGCAGTTGCTGCTGAGCCTGCTACAACACACGGCGCTGGTAACACGGCTGCGCCATAATATTTTTGGCACGAGAGTTCGTAAAAAGCCATCAGGCTCCGCGCAGTAGCTTAGGTACCAATGGTTCATCCCTCGCGGTAGGCTCGTCACACGAGCCAGCACACCAGGAACAGGAAGAGGAGGCAGGAAGTGTGCAGGAAGAAGAGCAGGAGGAGGAGGAGGAAGAGGAAGAGGAAGAAGACGAAGAGGAGGAAGAAGAGGAAGAAGAAGAGGAGGAAGAAGAGGAGGAGGAAGAGGAGGACGAAGAGGCGGAAGAAGAGGAGGTAGAGGTGAGCGAGCAGTCGACACATGCAGAACAGCCACAAGCGCCTCAGCATGGTTCAGGCACTGTCGCGGAAAGCGTACCTGAGCACGCCAGACTGGAAACCAGTCTGAAGGACCTGCAGGCACGCGTTTCTTCCAGACACGATGAAATACAGTCGCTGCGGCATCGGCTCCGAAGCGCAGGCCAGCAGAGGCAGCAGGACATGGGCGAAGGCGGCGAAGAGCTGAAGAGCAGCTCAGCCTCGCTGCATGAACTGCAGGGTTTAAGAGACCGACTGCAACGGACGGAACATCACCGAGCGGGCCTTGGGCCATCTGAGCTGGAGCTGCGCTCCCTCCGTGAGCAGCAAAGGGCTGTTCGGGAGGAAGTGGCCAGCTTTCAAAACGGTGGAGGCGATGGGGATGGGCCTTCTCATGATCAGGTTGCATACCTCACATGGCAATGCGAATGCTTGCGTGGATCCATCTCAGCTGCAGAGAAGAATGCCGAGGAGGAGCATCGACAAATCTCCAAGTTGGAAGCTGACATGCGCAATGAACATAAGGCAGGAGATGAGTATTCCTTGGCCCTCAAACACCAGCTGGCTGAAGCTGCACGGCTGGAAGCAGCAGAAAAGGTTGCTGCCAATGAAGTTGCCGATTTGACCGATCGCTATTGGGATTACGCGCCATTCAGTTCCGGCAACTATGGATTCACTGCACTGGACATCGACCAGGAAATAATGCAGACTTTGCCTCAGTGATTTGCGTGGAGTGTCCTGTTCTGTTCTGTGGGTGCTAGCTTGACAGCGTTCGTTGCAGATTGCGGCAGCGTGTGGGCTTTGAAGAGGAGGAGCTTGCACGTCTCGAAGGCCATGTACACGACTGCGGAATTGTAAGCACGGGCATGTTAAAAGTTGGTGGATTGCAGTGGCATGTGCCGAGCTGAAGGCAAGCTGATCCAGGCTCGTGCCGCCTGTCAGTCGGCAGCGGATGCAGCCGCTACAGTCCCGATCCTGGTCTTCAGCTGACTGTGCTCCGAGAGCAAGAGCTCAATCGACTCAAGCTCTGTCGCTCCCCCTCCGGAAAGGGATTTCGTTGTTGATTCACATGACAAGGCCCGCTAACCGCTCAGTACCTTTGGCGGGTGCCGACTTGGCTCCGGCCCGTCGCCGCAGACGTGGGTGACGGCTTCGCGAGGACCATGCTTCCGGACACAACATCCCCGACCCCTCCACCCCCACCCACCTCATCCCGCCCCAGCCCGCCCAGCCCACCCTGCACTCACCTCTCATGCGCTCTGGCAATCTCAAGAACAAGCGACACCGCTCAAGTTTCATGACCGGCAGGTAGAAACTGCAAACCCCAAATGAGCGATGGCCAGAAACATGAAGTGCTGAATTCTCAATGAACAGTTGAAACAGTTGAATACTGCTTGCACGCCCAGAGCCTTCACTCGGTGTGGATGCATACGAGGCATGCAAATATGCTGCCAATCATCGAACAACGGCAGTGCATTGAGGCGTGCAGGGAACGATTCTCCCACAGCTAAACCCAAGCGAGAGATGTGCAAAAGAAAGAAGATCCCCAGATACAACGACAGCACAATATGCTCATTACAGACAAGAAGCCGCGGGACAGGAAGCAAGATTGACGCAGGCTTGCTTGCGTACAAAGAGTGCTGGTATGATCGGATAGTACAGGAAATTATATAAGGCCAAGCCGCAGACGGTCTTGCTCATTCTTGCTCCAAAGTGAATGGCGCGGGCTGCATGACCAGAGGCAAAGCACAAAGACCCAAGTCAGTGGAATTACGTGCGCTCAACTCAACCATCACATCGCAGCCACGGCTGCAGCAGCGGCACCACTAGACCATGTCAGCAAACGCCCATGCAATCAAGTTGTCTGCCTACTCAGTTTCTTTGTCGAGGACGAGTCCAGGAGTTGAGAGCAGCAAGACCTGCATGTATGCATATAGTAGAAGACAACATGAACTTCCGGAGCAGCAACAAGCCGCATCGAAAGTTTCAGGCTTTGGCGTGTTTGCTAGAGATTGCAGGTGGTTGTGTCATGTGGCTTCCGCAGCACAAGCGAACTCGGGCCGCCAGCACTTAGCCAGACCCCGACCCACTTGTGATTCACAATTTTTCAAGGATTCGTGAAGGGCAGCCTGTGGTACCAAGTTCGTCTAATGCCAGACCATTACCGGCTCAGGCAGTGCATCTTGCACATGTTTTGCGGGAGCAGTCCAAGGTGGGCAATTGCTGCGCACAAGCGCGTGGTGGAATCCGCCCGAGCCAGTTTAGATCGCCACATTACCTGGTGGGTGCAGGCTTTCGACCTAGACCAGGACGAGGCACCAAGGGAGCTAGGCTCACAGCACAGAGCCAGGCAATGTATCCCTGCATGCACAGGCTGCGCATTCAAACCTGCAAAGAGTCGCAGCAGTGCAGGCGCAGGTACACACCTTTTCCTACATTGGCTTGTCTTGATACGGAGGTTCAGCGTTCGCGCTATGCCTCCTGATATTCTAGCCTGCGATTTCGTGCCCTTGCATTGCGAGACTCTTGATGATGGCACGGCAGAGGGAGAGAGAGAGAGAGAGATAAGTTTGCCGTGAATGGGGCGCATCAATGTGACTCACACAATTTTCCGGGAGCTCTGAGCAAACAAACCCAGTAGTACGGTGCCGAACTCAGGAGTACCCCAAAAGCCGATCACTCCATAAACCAGGGGGTGGTCGGGCTGGCTCAGGCCTGTGGGTCGCTCCGCGACCCTTATGCCCGGCAGAAAGAAAGAGATAAGTTTGATGCTATCTAATCTTTTATGCAGGCCAGGCCACGCCGTTTGGCAAAAGAAGACGAGCTGCCGGGCCGCAAGCCAAACCCATGCACCCAGTTGATTTCTTCGGTGAGAGGAGGGCGCCGAGTATGGAGTTGTAAGGATATTGAATACCGTTGCGTCCGAACACGTCTTGAAGCAGAAGCTCGGCGAGGCAGGACGCCGCACAGGAAGCAAAGGTGGAATCAACGAATTTGCAGAGGTACGACGTCGCAACAAAGAATTAGAAAGACAGGCGGGAGTGTAGCTGTCCAAGGTACGCAATAGCATTACCTTTTTGTAACATCCCGCCCATTTCCTGTTTGCATCTGGAGGTGCAAGCTGCGAAGACTCGTTTGGCTGGCAAGACTCAAACGCATTTTCAAGCTGGAACGCTTCAATTACCAAGGACAGGAGTCCTTGTCTATTTGGATTTGTTTATGTAATTTTTTAAGGCTTAAGATTTTTCACAAGCTCATTTAGTATCATGTCAACTTGGACAGTTTATGGACCTGCTTCGGCCTGAATTTGGAACGGTTAAATGCAGTTTATGGCTTAGACCTTCTCTCATACAAGTATGTGTGTTCGCAATGGTTCCATGGGGGCGGGGCAGGATCCCGCAATACCCAACCAGAAGAAGAAGAGAAAATAAACAACAAATGAATAAATAAATACAGTAAATAAAAAAATGTATATATATATATATATGTATATCTATGACATAAATATAGAATTATGAAACTCGATATCAATTTCCAGAAGAAGCGGTGTCGTGCTGATTGCATGCGTGCTTCTGTGCGCACCCCTGCCCCCTGTAACTTGGTAGTTTTCCACGTTTCTTCGTGAAAACTAATTGCATGGTTGTCTCGCATCACTAAAATCCTGGAAATTTAGCGTCGTGAGCGCTCCTCTCCGGATACTAAAACTACCAAAAAATTTTGGTAGCTTTAGGAAATCTCGCGGTATTAAAGTCTTCAACATCTTGGTAGCTTTAGGGGGACCTTCTCGCGGTAAGAAAATTCTACCGGTTTTTGGCGGAGGCTCCGGTGCTTTGCTTGCTGAATGAAACCAAGTATCAGTCGCATGTCAGGGTTCAAGTCCAGTTCGTATCCGGGTTCGTGTCCGGTTCGTGTTTGGGTTAGTGTCTGGGTTCGTGTTTGGTTTGTGTTCGGGTTCGTGTCAGGTTCGCGACTGGGTTCGTGTCCGGTTCGTGTTCGTTTCGTGTCTGGGTGTCTGGGTTCGTGCCGGGTTCGTGTCTGGTTCGTGTCCGGTTCGTGTCTGGGTTCGCGTCTGGGTTCGCGTCTGGGTTCTTGTGGTACGTGTTTGGTTCTTGGCTGGTTCGTGTTTAGTTTGTGTTCGGGCTGGGTTCC